TCTTTCTTTCTCACCACCGCTCTATCACCCCCTTACCCACCGGCCATGGATAGACGACAATGCTCCTTGGGTGCTCACGCGGCGACTACCTAGGAGGCAGAAGTTGTGCTCTTGCAGGCGACGGAGATGAAGACGCTGATGCATGACTGAGCCAAAGGCACTATGTCAACGACTACCAGCGTCAAAGCTACCGCCGCTCGAGGTGCCTCCAGGCCCATCGCGCATAGTCAAAATCAAGGGATTTAAGGGGATTGTCATTCATTTAACCCCCTTTTAGTCGAAATCCTTCCCTCCCCCCTTGTGCGGACTAATCGAACAAGTCCTAAATCGATGACTAGATCTATCTCTCTCTGTTTAACTGATGCCTACACCTATCTCTCTTGGTTTAATTGATGCCTAAATTAATCTTTCTCCGTTTAGTCGATACCTAAATCGATCTCTCTCCGTTTAATCGATGGGTAATTAGATGCCTACACCAATCCCTGCGAAAGCATGGAGAGATGGCTTACCACCATTGACGAAAGTGTGGCGAAGAGATGACGAATCGATGATGAAGCCGATGCTAGTCAAAATCAAGTGATTTAAGGGGATTCTCATGGATTTTAACCCTCTTTTAGTCAAAATCATTTCCAATCCCCTTGTGCGGACTAATCGATGCCTAAATCGATCTCGCTATGTTTAATCGATGCCTAAATCGATCTTTCTCCATTTAATCGATGCCTACATCGATCTTTCTCCATTTAATCGATGGGTAAATCGATGCCTAGATCGATCCCTGTGAAGGCACAGAGAGATGCCTTATCGCCATTGACGAAGGCGTGGCGGAGAGGTGATGAATCGATGATGAAGCCGGTGCTAGTCAAAATCAAGGGATTTAAGGGGATTGACATTGATTTAATCCCCCTTTAGTCAAAATTCTTCCCAACCTCTTGTACGGACTAATCGAACAAGCCCTAAATTGATGACTAAATCGATCTCTCTGTTTAATCGATGCCTAAATCGATCTCTCTCTGCTTAATCGATGCCTAAATTGATCTCTCTCTCTCTCTCTGTTTAATTGATGCGTGAAGTTTAATCGATGGGTATGTCGATGCCTACATCGATCCCTACGAATGCTTGGAGAGATGTCTTACCGCCATTGACGAAGGCGTGGCGGAGAAGTGATGAAGCCGATGTTCGTCATCCAGATCTTGCCTCCTACGATGGTCATCGTTGTCGGCGAGAGAACGGAGAGAGGGGGGAGTGGGCGGTGAGAGGATTTATGGCCGCATCGGGAAACAACGCGACGTCTCTCGAGTGACCCTGCGCGTGCAAGTCACTTGCTGGTCACCGCCATCGGTGAGAGAGTGGAGAGGTAGGGAGGGGAGTGGGCGGTGAGAGGATTTATGGCCGCATAACATGACGTCTCTCGCGTGACCCTGCGCGTCCACCGTCCGTAGTCACGTGCAGTCGCTTGCATTACGCGGGCTTGGCTCGCTGAAAACGAGTGATTCGGTTGTCCCTCCAGAGTCAGGCCCATCGATGCTTTCAGTTTCATGTCATGTAGGCCTAACAATAAAAGCACGGATTCAAACAGGTCAAATTTGGTTCCGGGAGCCTGTATAGGCCTCATGCAGCCTACCAAACATGACATAAGTTTTAACATTTTCATGATGAATCTAGTTGCTAGTTGATGGGAATACACCCTCAAAAGAGTTGTCGTACCATGTATGCATAGTCTCCTCTCATTGTTGGGAAGGATTTCGGAATGGTGATAAGTCGCCTAACTGTCGGTTGTTGCTATAGACTAGTAAACGTGTAAGTGCAATTGCAT